TGTTTTCTGTTGTTGAGTTTTCTGGGTTTTCCCCCTTCGAGAGCACTATATATCTCCCCCTCCCTGTTTCACGGCAGCTCTTGAGGGAAAGGTGGGGAAAGTTCAGGACAAAAAACTCCGGAAAAGTGGCAGGAAGACGGGGAAATTCAGAAAGAAGTAAATAGGATGGAGTTAGGAAGGATAGGGTCGTACCAGAGGAGAACTTGGAGTGAAGGACGTGCCCTAATTCCCTGGCAAGTAGTTATCGTCTACTTGAAGGGAAAGAACAGTTTGTTTATTTCGCAGAATAATCTGAAGTTTTGCCTCATTTGATTCCTTCTGCACGCCCTTTTGACCTTATTTGTGTATCCATTTCCTTTCTCGGCAGCTGAACTAATCAACCCCTTTTTACCGAGTTCGGTGGCGTAGGTGCATGATGAGTTAACACAGAGCTACAACGAAGTAGGTGTTTGTTTTGCTTTGAATTCAAAAGAGTGCTGCATTGCTAAAACTCACTGGAGCCTGAGAATATTGTGTAGCCAACAAAGGAAATCCTTATAGCCAGATACTGACGGTAAGTTCTAGAGCACTCGTCAGCAAAAATATGAAAAAAAGTTTCAAATTTGGCAACACACTCACCTCCCCTACACGCTTGGATGAATACCAACTTTGGTTTTCCGGCGAGCAAAGGCGCATTTCTGGCATTAAGGGCTTCCAGGAACGGGTACACTGACAGCACATCATCATCTCCGCTAACACCTGAAAGCGCATGGTGCCATTCGTCTGAGAGTACTGAATTATCGATGATTGCTGTACTCTTCTGTAAAATCGCGGACTTCCTATTTTATCAGCAACTCCAAATGTTGATATGGCATCTATCCCATCTGGATTGAACACAATAATCGTAGGCATACTTCGAAGGACATAAAACCCAATCACATAACTGTCAACGTGAATCCCTTGAGGCGTACTAATGAGTGCTTGACAGACATTTCAGGAAGAAGTAACGTTTATCAACAATGTAGATAATGGGTTTGAAAGGCATAGTTAACGCTGATCAGATAGGCACACTCGAACCCCACAACTGCGTAGGTTCATTGGTGTGTCCTTTCTTTCTAGTATGGTAGAAGGGGGAAATGCACGCAGAAAAGGTGGGCATGATTCCCGCCCTGTGATCAGCGTAAATGTAGGCTCCAGTGTAGGAAACCTTTGCCTTACTGCCCCAGAAATGCGGATCGAGCCAGTTTCTTGACCGCTTCCGTCTCCGCGGGGCAGAAAAATAGCAGAAGTTCTCTGAGGTAGTTTCACCTCTTGAGCATCGTGTTATCACATCCGCTCCGCGCGAAAACACTCCTGACGCCGACGCGCCTATCAGGCGTCGGTGATTTGGGGTATCTTGGCGCCAGCGCCTGTAGCGGGGGGGGAGGGGGGGGGGTGCCAGGAAGTTTCGCGCCGAGCGAATGTGATATCCGTATTCAGGAGGTTAAACTATCCAAGAGTAAGAATTTTTAGCCAATTCTGCCCACGAGAAAAAATAGGGTAAAAACTGACCAGATTGCGGACGATAGGGATCGGTCGAATGGATAAGTAGTGCCAACCTTTTTAATGCTCAAGAATCAAGAGCGCTTTTCACAATGATAAGATAAATACAGCGCTAAAATGTGAACACTAGGTGCTAAGTGTGTGCTAAGTGTCACAGTTGAAAAGAATCACCAAGAAAAAGTCAAAAAGGCTCCAACACCCCCTCCCCCACCCTTGGCACTGCGCATTAGTCGCGTGACGCGCTCGATTTCCAGTTCGCCTCGCTTCGCGAATAGCAGGAGCTTTGGACTTCGGCAATTTGTGAGCTTGGAGCACCGCCGGGGTCGCAGCGTATTATCCATCAGTTTTGTCTCTTTTTTGTTCCTACCATTCCAGCAGCTTTCTGCCAGCCGCGGATGAAGAAGGAAAGTTGACGGAAGAATGAGAAGGCTCTCTTCTTAACTACACTTTTACGTCCGTTTATTGCTCCTTTAATGGCAATCGCAGTGGCACCCACTTAAGCGCGAACAGTGGAGACAAAATTGCGTACGACTCGAAGCCCGGGAGTCTACCAGCTCGCCATCACGGGCACTTGTATTAGGGCGGCCAGGGGTCGCGAACGGCCGGGCTGCGGGGCGTTCAACGACCGCGCGATCAGCTGTTTCCGGTCTAATTTGGCCACTTTCTCCCTAACCTTTACTGGATTTTCTATTTGTTTCGAGGTAAGTTTTTTATTGTCTTTATAAAGTACATAAGGACGGGGAACGGGGAGTGTTTTTTGTTGTTTTTGCAATAGTGTTCAATTGTCTGCTTAACTGTTTAATTGTACGCAAAAATCAGAGGAATCTCAATCATAATTTACCTTGTGAAGACAAGGAACAACTAATCGTGAGAAAAGCAGCCAAAACAGTGTAAATTAGGGAGAAAATGGCTAAAATAGGCTGGAAACAGCTGATCGCCGCGCTCGTGACACGCCGCAGCCGCGTCGCGACCCTTGGCCGCCTAATCAAGTGCCCGGATGACGACTCTACATTCAGGTGTCCCTGCACAGTAAGTATGAAGCGATTCATACGAGGAAGTACCGCTTCGAAATAGCTGCTTTACCTTACACTATATGTTTTCATGCTACTTAACTAACCTGAAAAGCAGTCACTTTATCATGAACATAATTGTCGTATACCCACCCAACAGCTGATCCCGTTCACCATGTGTCAGCACAATGACAATCGCGGAAGATGCGAAACGATGCTGTGGATCACTGGCGAAAGATCGCACTCGAGACAACATCTCCTTAACCGAAAACCTTCAGCACTAAATCCCAGTAGTCGATCAGTTTGAATGACACGCTAGAAACTGGCTGTTGCGATCTCGGGCTGTGTGGTGCTCTAGCAGTCGAGCGAGCCCGTAATCGAAGGGACGGCATTGTGCGCATGAAGCGGAGGGCCAGTACCCAAAAATTCCACATCTGATACAATCCTCTCCCGCTCACCGCCCCTTTCCACCAACAACCGGGGAAATTTCTCAAATCAGGAAAATTCAAGGAGGAGAACCCTTCAACCAGGAGAAATACCCCCTCTTCCTAGCGACCAAATACGACCCTCCCTCACTGAAAGGATCCTTCCAACAGTGCTATACTCTGGCTTGTGAATGGTTGACTACACAAGGCTTCGGACATAAAACAAAGATGTTCCCTTCAAAGAGAGTGAATCGTCAATCTTCCAGGCTTGCCGCTTGGTGGGGCATTTTGGCTGGGCTCCATTTATCACTGAACGTAGGGGTAAGCGTGAAGAATTGAATTTCTGGCAAAAGCTGCGCACTAGCAGGAAAGTTTGTTGAATTATGAGTTGAAGTGTTTTGAGTTTTTGTCGCTTCATCAAGTCTCCACATCTTTTCAACTAGGCAAAAAAAACAAACTAGCGAACTGCGAATGCTCCCCTGAATCTCAACCGACGCTGCAAAAAGTGTTTTTTTTTTATTCCTCATCTGCACGGTCAAATCGCATCTAGAAATGCTTCACTACGATTCGAGTAGTAGTAGGTGCATGGCTTTTATCCCCCAAAGAAAACATACAAACTGTATCCTTACAACTGAGGTCATGTTCATCCCTATTGACTTTGTATCCACAACTGAATGAACGAAGATTTGTTGAGATTTCCCGCTAACAACATCTCTGTTCCTTGACGTCGAGGCATTGAAGCAAAGTTTTCATTGTTGAATATCAAGCAAAGACCTTTTGGTACGGAGAAGTTGGGGTATATCTGAAGGACAAGATTAAGAGACTGAACTAGCTTGAAACGCAGAAGCATTCAGAAAAACAACTCACCGAATCGCGGTTTTTCAAAAACATTTCCATTTCTGGTGAATGATTGCTGTCTATCATATCCACTCGGAGATCTTCTAACAAACCAGCGGGTTTCATTGGAGGCATATCTGAATGGAAGTCTAACTTTGGTGAGTGACTTCACTTCAGGTTTGCCAGCTATAAGGGATCTCTTACCCATTCTATTCATCTTGACTCGTGAATGCAATGGTAAGATTCTTCCATGGCGTGGTTGGCATCGCTTGCATTCTCTTTCTGCAAAAACTTTCTAAGTTGCCTCAAAAATTATGGCAAGGGAGGGTAAGCTGACGGTTGTAAGACTACTCGTTCCGGCACACCATCAAAATCCCGTCCTTGCTGAATGCTTGCTCCCAGCTCCCCACCTTCAACGCAATACACCCATCCCCATTGGCGAAGCAAGTGCCTTGTCACTTCAAACGACATTTAATAACATACGGAGCAGGCAAAACACTGTGTTTGCACATGGAAAAACAGATAATCCCCCCCCCGTACCGCATTGGAGAGTACAGCGCGGAAGCTGGGACAGAATCTATGAAGGGACCATCGGACCGAGATCTGAATGAGCATTATTCGTTCTGCACAGAGAGCTTTGAATAGGTGCCTCCACCACCGTCAATTGGGTAAAAGGGTAAAGGATAAACTTTTCGAAAAGGGGCACGCATTCCACTTCGATTCTGAGTCATACATAGTAGCTCTCTGAATGCAATTTAGGCCTTATTACGAGTTGTGTAAGACGGAGCCGTCCGGGGCCGCCGATACGACACCCTCCAACGAACGACAAATCAATTCTTGCCAGACGCCTGTCTCCCGAAAAAAAGTTGGGCCTATAGAGCGGAGGGGAGATGGGGCGGCAAGTGGTGTAATGGAGCCAAAAATCAACACTACAAAAAGTTTCCCAGGCCAAACACGACCTTTCCCCCTCCTATTCAGCGACTCAATACCTCGTTCAGCGGGTTCCTCCCAGTGATGATGGGCCTTGGAAAGATAGCCCATGTATAACTCGTTTTTATCATCCTCCCAGACGCGTTTGGTGCCAATTTACCACCCGCGGAAGGAGGCTGGGTGGGAGCCGATTTGAACTTTGACTATAGGATGCTGCGTACGCATAAGAAACGGGCCACTTGCCACTACACTCCTTTTGCGCCGTTAAACGGGTGCACTAATACAAATTAAAATTTGAAGCTCGTGTGCTATCGATCAAAAGTACCGATTTTTGAGAGGGATGTTGGAAATCGACCCTATGGTGGGTTCTCCCCTTCGAAAATTCCAGTCTCATGCAGCCATGTGATCAAATCACAGTAAAACTCACAAGGTCTGGAGTACGGCTTCATCTACCAGAGGTCGCAACAGATCAGCCAAATGTGGTTGTCGTGCATGAAGCAACGCCCGGAAAAGTGCCTCGAATGCCCTATCACCTCTGGTCTTCACAGCACGAACAATTGCAGCTCTTTGAGCACTCGCCCCTCCGGCGGCCTGAAAATTCATCCGATGCTCCCATTGTTCGAGACCCACAGAATCAACGTACCTGGATCTTCTCTACAACTGCATCGGTGAACACCTCCTTGCATTGAAGATAATGGAGAACATCATCAATTTCCATTTCTCGGCTTAGTACCAGTAGACATCTATCGAGCAGTTTCCGACGCTCATTTCGCATCATTGTGACTGCCCGCGCGATGAGACAGGGCCAGGTTTTCCTCTGGGCGGCTGTCTTTGCTCAGAAATTCTGACAAATGGGGGAAAAATATTAAAAATTCGACACAGTGAAAAAAGACGACACTCATCTCTCTTTACACCCAATTTTTCAAAATTCACGCCAGATTTTGATCTGGATGTCCCCCCCCTGTGCAGATTCGGCTAGAATTCTCTTTTCAGGGGTAGCTTGATCTGCTGTATGAGAATACCACATCTATACTCATAATCCCTGCAAATGATAGGGCGTGTATAAGGCCGTGAATTGGAGCGCAACCAGCGCACTTTTCCCACGAATTATTGAGGACTTAAGATGGCATTGTCATCGGTGGGATAGGCCGCCCTTGTTGCGTCGCACCACGTCTCTCTCCACATAGATAGGCCGCCCTTGTTGCGTCGCACCACGTCTCTCCACATGCCCTATCGCTTGCAGGGATATTTGGCCCCAAAGCGACCGGCGGGGGCTACAAAAATGTCGCAGCAGTGGCACCTTCTGAAACGGACCCATACATTTCCGCTTAAAAAATGTGATATCCGTGCTCATGGGTCGCATAACCGCTAGGAACAGAGTTTTAGTCAAATCTCAAATTTATCCTCAGGGAGGGGATAACTTCGACCAGATTCCGGCTTGAACTTCGGGAAAATGAGGCACTCAAGGGTAAATATCGAGAAGTGACATATTTTAGGGCGGAGGCTAAAATCCAAAATCAAAAACCGAGAAAATCCAAGAAAACTCAAAAGGAAGCTACTCTAGGACATTGTGCTCGTCTCTCAGTGACATTTCTTAGCTATTCACCTTCAATTATCCACAACAATGGGCTAAACGAATGTCAAACAAAGCTAAGCAGGGATTGTTCAAGGGCAGAAGTACTAATACAACACAATATTCCGTACCACATGAATATTACAGATGACTCTTGCAATGGAACAAAAGGACGAAAACGTTTTCAAAAACGCGAGCCCAAAATGCAAGTGAATAGAAAGCGAAAGTCCTAAAATGGTCACTGCCAAACTGGAAGATGTCCCAATAAAATATTGGGACAGCTCTCTCAACACAAAGGCACATTTCCGAGTCATACGATTGCATAAAATTAAGGGCTATAAAGCCGGGTTACCAGGTCAATTATCGTATGAATTACTCAGATACTGACCCGAATGGGGAACAAAGGCCGACTGGCAGCAACATGTAGGGGAAATGATGATGCTGGTAGAAAATTGGACTTAATTACTAAGGTCTCCTTCATCATCAGCTGCTAGGTTCACGACTCTATCTATTTCAGCTACTTACTGCTGTGGAATAACTTTGGTGAATAGGGTAACCGATACAGACGATAACATGGGATGTCCCCATATCTCCCTATCTATTTCACCCTGATTACTGCTGCGAAAGAAACACAAAGTTACCATGAAGCTGTAATCCAGGTGATATAGATAGTGGTGAATCAACCAAAGCTTGAAAGGGATCTTATTAATGAAGCCTGGCATCCCAATGTTATCATCGCCTGCCCTAACCACCAAAGCTATTCCATAGTAGTAAGTAGGTAAAATAGGTAGAGTTGTTAACTTAGAAGTTGATGACAAAGGGGATCTTACTAATTGGAACTATATTGCCCTTAGGCATAATCATCGTCGCCCTACCCTCTGCCGGCCAGCCGACCATTGTTACTCGTTCGCGTACGTACTTGAGTAATTCATACGGTAATTGACTTGCCAGCCCAGCTTTATAGCCGCTAATTTTATGCAATCGCGTGGCCCGGAAATCTGCCATTGTGTTGGGAGCTGTTCTGGGGATATCTTCGAGTTCTACGTTGGCCATTTCCAGACCTATGCCACAGTCAGCAAAAAAAAAACTACTGGGCGCTAATCTATTTCGGGGAGGGGGGCACCAACGCACTTTCCCTTCAGTCAAACAGCGGCAGGACAACGATGAATACTGCTGACCACCAAGGCGCCCCCTTGTGGACAAATATGAGCCCCCTCCACAATACCCATCGAGCTTGGGGAAAGCTGTGGGGGGAGGAGAGTCCTGAACGCTTAAACAAAAAAAAAGTCGAAAAACCCTTCCTCCCAGGCTAACTATGACCCCCCCTTTTGTTCCTATGCCCCGGGGGAAACCGAAATTTTTAACCAACTCCTCTCTGCCCTTGAGGTTTCATCCAACGCTGCGACGTGTCTGATGCGCCTCACGCAGATGAAGGACGTACCCACGCTGCCTCTTCGAACCAATGATTCCTGATGACGACCCTACTCGAATCCTGCACGATACGAGCCCTCTTCTCCTGTGCTGGCATCCCCTATCAGCGACGTGCCCTGATCATCACATAGAGATGATATACCAAGGGGGCTTTGCCCCCCCACCCAAGCCATTATTAAACGCCTTTCGCCAGGCCAAATACGACCTCGACCGCTTACCCTCCCCCCCCCCCCAGCATAAATGAGGGTAGGTATGACCCCCCACCTCCCCCTCCTCTCCTCCCACCTTCCACAGAACTTACCAATTCAATTTACATTTATGTGGCTTTACAGAAATTGCCGCGTGGTGTTTCCGGTTGTTGGACTTTTCGCGTGTTTATTTTTTCCGTTTCATGGTGTACTGTCTTACCCCCTCCCCCTCCCCCTCCCTCCCGCTCCCCGGAAAATCTCCGGGTGAAAACTGGGACCCTCCCCCCTCTCCTCACAGCGACCAAGTGCGACCCATCCCCAGCCAAATACGACCCCCTATGTGTTTTCACACAACGATGCTCTGGCCTGTTCCAGAACGATATGATAAGATTAAATTAACTCGATGGGAAAAGCGGGAAAAAGGATGTTAAGGCCAACGCGCCAACGCCTTGTGATCAAACTTACAAAACATAAAAATACACGAATTAATTAAATATTTTTAATAAGAAACATATTACAGTAGTCAAAATGCACATGAAGATTCTTCGAACCATAGAAACAAGCAACATACAGAGCATTAGATGAAGTCTTTGATAGTAGGAATACGGAATGACCATTAGAATAAGCTATTAGTATCCAATTTAGACCTGGGCCACATCCAGGGTGGGCTGGCGGTGCGAAACAATACAAAGAGCATTCGGCATCTCAATTAACACTGCGCAGATGTACAGCGCTAACGCTACCGTTGTATACACTTGGGATACACTTGGATGGGCTCACGCGGCCTTGCCGACGTATTTCATAACAATCTCACTCATCACAACACATAGACAATAGATCCCCCCAAGGCAGTGGATACAGATAAACGAGGCATTTTCGAAATTATAAACAAACAAAAGAAGGTCAACACCGAAATGTAGGAGATTAGGAGATTAATGAGTTCAAGAACGAATACATTTGGTAAGAAAAGCCATTAAATAGCAAACGCCTTGATCGAACCAGTGATGGCCATGAATCACCTGAAAATAGCCCAAAACAGGATCCAGTTGAATCTTGGCGATCGAGCAAACAAAACCAGTCTACTACTCAGAAGATATCGCAAAAACTGCGTGAAGTAAAACTGAAATTCGCGATTTTTTTCTAAGATCGGCTTGCCATTACTGAAAAACTCTTTCGACCTCAGAAAACTCATCCCATTCTCAACACACACCCACTGATCCAAGGTCAGCTCCGTAATTTCATAACAACTCAGCGCATGTTTTGGTACAGTCAAGATAAGATCTTTCTTTTGCTGCAAGTGGGACAAAATTTTACGCAGTTGGCCCTGGAGAGGGCAAAAAAATGGTACTTTGCAAGGGTAGTTCAGGTCACCGTGTGAAGACCTGTAAATTCGGCTCTTTAATAATATTTTGCAGCTCCACAGGACTTTACAAGTCTCAGCAAAGTGTGATCTGTGAACTAACATGAACTAGAAGGGGAACTAGTGATAATGCAAAATGCCCCTCCCAAGCCGAACAGCGCCCAGAGATCCTAAAAAGTTCAAATGCCTTTTCGCATACGGAGACAGAGGTGAAGCTTCTGGCGTCCAGTGATCCCTTTTTGGAGTGCGCCACACATTCTACTTCCGACTCTCAATCGTAGGATCTTTTGAAAGGCCCACGCAATGACTTGTAAGAGCTAGCCAACGCACAAATCATTTATCTACCTTCTTATTCCCCATTAGGTTTGTAGGATGGAACTGTTCATTTGAGTCCTTGACAATGACGATTACAATTTGTGCTGCGTCCGTTCGGTTCAAATTATTTAGCGCCTTCAAGGCTAAAAATACCCCCCCCTCCTTTGTCATGGAGCTAATAGGCTACTCTTTCGCATTAAGAAATCCCCAACCTGCGGTGTACCCTGACCTGAAAGGCCGGCTAGTAAGCGGTTCCATGCTGACAAACCTGGTAAGGCACAAGTTATGTATACAACTGCATACCTAAGGTTTCAAAAAGGTATCGGAGTTCACCATTTTTTCCCTCTTTGACGAGTCTCCAACCAATTACCAGCCCCTGAGAACCAGTGGGCTTCACTTGACTTGGACGAGAACCGAGCCGGGACTCGACCCTCAACCACGGCGCCGCGCACCACTAAATCACCTCTGTTTTTCCTTTGGTAAAATGCCATAGCTAACCAATTTCCTCTCAAACCGGGCTGAAAATTCTTCGCTCGAAGATAAATTGTTGCCATGAATACCCCCCTCCCCATTTAGGCCTCCTCCATATAGCGCAAAAATCACTAAGCTCGGTAGCGTTACCATGATGACATTTTTTGCCTGCGCTCTAGTTTTCTTTGAATTCGAGCACTGTTGGTGTACATAGCGGCAAGTGCCGCCGCGACTTACTACCCGCACAGAATCGGGTCAAAACCAGGATGGACTCCCTTGGAACAGTCAAGCCTTCTCCCTCTCCGGCATCGGTTCAGTTTTTTTTAGAATCGTTTGGGAGGACAAATGACTGCTTCTCACAACGGCTGGATTCGCAAATAACTGTATAAAA